TATTAGGCAATAGTTGCATCGCCGTAGGTGATGGGTCCCTTTCCCTCATTTACATTGTTATACATAGAAGGGTTTATTTGATGTCTTCCATTATGTGCAATTAAAACCAAAATACTTACATTGGCTTGAACAAGTAATGTTATTCATTTCAAATATTCATTTTGAACAAGTATTAATAAGATGAATAAAAATAAAATAAAAATGGAATGGATATTTCAAGATAAATAGCATTGTTTTGTAGATAAGTATGTAACCATGTGCGCATGACAATTACACTTACTCTATTCTTCTTGGTTTCAAAATCTCACTAAGATAATCTTTCTATACTAAAGTTCAAAACATTTCAAAATCCAAAGAAGGAACTAGAAAAAGGAAAATGACGACCAAAATGCAAGAAAAAATAAAAAAAGAAAGAAAAGGATATAAAAAATGACAAAAAAAAAAGACACACAATAATATAACACCTAAGTAAAATTTTGAGGTGTTGTTTGGTAATCGGGAATGGAGTAATGGGAATGAGAATGCGGGAATCGGAATGAAAATTAAAGAATCAAAATGATATTTTTATTTACATACCGTGTTTAGAATACTAATAAGAAATTAAAATGCAATTTAAATTTTTTAATAGCCGATTTTTTATACAAATAAAAATAACGACTAAAATAATTTTATTGAACTATAATAGTTGTAAAAATAATAAAGGTGATTGTGGTTATGATAGTAGTGGTTCTAGTGGTGGTGGCGGTAGTGATGGTGGTAGTGGTGGTAGTGATGGTGGTAGTGGTGCTAGTCGTGTTGGTGATGATGGTAGCGGTGGTGGTTGTGATGGTAGTGATGATGGCGGTGGTGTTGGTTGCGATGGTGGTGATTATAGTTGCGATGGTGATGGTGGTAAAAATAGTTAACGGATAATAAATAAATAAAATATATTATTATTTTGAAAAAAAAATTCATTCTCATTCCTTGTTTTTATTCCCACATCTTACATGAGAATAAAGTTGTGTATAAATTTTCATTCTTATTTTCACTCTTCATTCTCATTCTCACTTCATTCCTTTTAACTAAACGGCTAAAATGTGAGAATAGAACTTCCATTCTCGTTTCCATCACTGTATTCCCGATTACCAAATAGCATTTCATGAATTGCAAATAAGTCAAAGAGCATGTTTAAAAGTTTCACACTTCAAATTTATTAGGCAATAGGTAATAGATAGTAATTTATAAATAGTAATATGTTGATAGTAATTTATAGGTTATAATCAAGTAGGTCGTAATCTATAGGATGATAACTGATTTTTAGTTCTCTCGTTAGTGCTTGTAACGATCATCATTTTTAGTTCTTCCTAGATTGATCATGAATTGAGTGCCAATTGGTGAATATTTGCTAATTTTTTTAAATGTAAGTCTATTATTTACAAAGACTCCAACATTGCATTATAAAATTTTTTAAGTTTGTAATTGATAGATTATCATTCATATTGCAACTTGCATTTTTTAATGATTTAATGATTTAATTTCTTAGTTTTAAGTTTAGTTTAGTTTTTTTTTAATTACATATTAGAATAAAATGCTCAATTATTAGCCTAAATTGTCTTTTTAATGTGAGTTATCATCAACAATTCTACAACTCAACTAGCTTGAAGGATCATGATTCTTTGCTAGGAGCTTTCGAACCGATTACGCTTAATCTAATTTAATTTGTTTATAACATAAAATCCTAAAAAAATCAATATAATTTACAACAGTTTGTTTTAGAAAATTAATTTGATTCATCTATCTATATGATTACAAGATTGACTATATTATAAAATATTTCTCAAGCATCATATATATATATTTTACAAAATCTTCTTGGTTAGTCCCACACACAAAAAAACCTTCCAATATCCACTTTACATGTTACAGTAGTTGAGATGGGAATATGCTCCAAGCAGCCTAGTCAGGGGAGAGTCCTAGCATGAGAAAGTAGCTGCCCTTATTTTGGACACATGGATGCTAATGTCTAACTTTTGACGTACATGTAATTTTACAAAAACGAAAATCTTTTGTACCTCCTAACACACAAACAAAATTGAAAACCTTACGAGGCTAGGCTTTAATTTCAAATTGAAAATAATCTTTTATCATTGATGATCAGGTTTGCTTTCAAATCCTGCAAAAAAAAAAAACACTGTGAATTACAAATGATAGAGTCATATATATAAAAGAACCAATCCTTCATTGCAGGGGTACTTTATTTATATTATGATTGGGGTGTTCTCCACAGCTAACCCCAAAATATTTCAAGGTCCTTTTTACATTTGTTGTATAATCGTAAAAATCAAATTGTGAATAAAAAAAAACTTAAGCTAAGCTTCTAAAATTTATAACTATGCCTTAACCTTTCTCAACTAATTATTGTTGAGAGTTCTCTAATTCCTTACTAGTTCCTGCCTACTTATGCTGACATTAGTGTTTTTTTCTTCTTCGAGTAATCTCGAGTAAAATCTATATTATATAAATACTTGTAGTCCAAAATTTACTTTAATTATATAATTTACTTTAAAATCAATATAATCGGCAGAAATAATAATAATAATAATAATAATAATCACACATTTATGGAAGTGGTATTAATGCGATAACAACTAAACATACTATCAGCTTAAAGTTAACGTATACGGCAATTGATAATTGCACTATAAATATGTTAGTTTTTAACTTTTTTTTTCAAATGAATATATAAATTTTAATTTTTTTATTTAATTATATTAATTTTTTAAAAATTATCAATCAAATATTTTAATTAATTTTTTTAATCAAATACTTTAATTAATTTTTTATTAATTAATTATGTACCTGTTATCCTAAGAATAACAAATTATAAATTTACCAATTTTTTCTCAATCAAATACATAATTTTTTTTTCATTAGAACACATTAACTTTTTCAAAATTATTAATTCAAGTACTTTCATCAATTTTTTCGTTAATTGGTGATGTAAAATATGAACTTATAATTTTATAATTTTTTTTTTTTTTTTTTTTGTTGAAGAGAACTTTCTTCTCAAATTATTTAATCATTTTAAAATTTTTTAAAGAATAAAAAATATTATTTTTTCGCTACAAAATCCTAAACTAAACTCGGTTAGGTTGTTGTTAAAAATAAAACTCACTTAGATTGAGGAGTGAAAGTTGAAGGAAAACACAAATAAATCTTGGTGATGAAAAATCTCACATTTGTCTTTTTTTCAATTTTCACATCCAAAAACTGATTGAGTTTTTTTTTTTTTTTTTTTAACAGCATTTCTAATTGAGTGTGTGTATATAAAATTTTGTCAAATTTTAAAATAGTAGAATAATATTTTTTTAACGGAAGCATTTAATTGGAATTTTTTTAAAAAAATTAATATACTTAAATGAAAAAAAATTAAAATTCATGAACCCCATTGCAAAAACAAAATTATAATTTGATATTTTGAGAGTAACAAACACGTCATTAATTAATATAAAAATTGATGAAACTAATCAATTGATAGTTTTGAAAAAAATTATTATATTAAAAAATAAACTAGTATATTCAAATGGAAAAAAAAATTAAAATTTGTGTATTTCATTAAGAAAAATAAAATAAAATAATATTTTGATATTTAAAAGATAACAAACACGTCATCGAGTTAACATTAAAATTGACGAAGTATTCCATTGATAATTTTTTTAAAAAATATATATTAAAAAATTAAATTATAAACTTGATTAAAAAAATTAAAAATTCATTTACTCGCATAATTGTTCCTACACACTGTATGTTTCTCCAACAATTTGCTAATGTTTTGGTTTTTTTCTCCAAAAATTCACCAGAAGTCCTACACTTTCCCAAAAATGGTCATTGCAATTAAATGTAATTATAATTAATTCTGATGAAACTGTCTAAACTTTTCAAAGATTCTCTTAATCCTAGAAAAGAAAAAAAAACAGAGAAAACTCACCAATCAATCTAAAAGAGGAAGAGAGAGAGAATAAGAAGAGATGGGTCATTGGCAAACGTGGTTGATTGACATGAAAAAAATAAAATAATATAATGATAGAGGAATGGAAAAGATTGAGCATTCATAGGATAGGTGGTGGTGTAAATTACTACTAAGATCATAGAAATAGCCGTTGTTGGGAACGTGGTTGTGAAAATGTCAAACAAGCAACGACGAACTAGAAACAAACCCATCAACCCCAACATGTCTTTGCTATTCTACTTTTGCCTTTGTGTGGTTAGACGCATATACCATGCCAGCCCATCTCTCTCCCTGTGTCTCCCCTTTCTCTCACTAATACCAGTATTAGAAGATTAATTAAACGTATTATTAAATGCCCATAATTGATAGGAAACAAGAACAGCATGTCTTGCTTTGCGGTCGTTGCTAGAGATAAATTCATGAGCATGCTCTCTTTGCATATATATATATATATATATATACACAATACAAGCAGTCATCTACAAAAGACACCTAACTAAATGCCATCCACAATTAGCCACCCATATTTCCATCACCACTAGCAGCAGCAGCTAGCACCGAAGGAGCAGCAGCACAGCACCACCTCTCTCTCTCACACACACACCTCCATTCCACCTTACAGCTACTCCTAAGTTACTTTTTCAATATTTCCCAGTTACGAGAAGACTCATCAGAAGCATCCAAAAGGCAAGACTCCGCCACACTTGTCGTTTTAAACTCACTTACTTTAAACAAACAACAAATAATAGCAGTAGATCGAAGAAATTTATTCTAACAAAAAGTTATCGGAGGTTGTGTTGGTGTTTTTGGGCTTAGTTAGCTAGCTTCTAGCTAGATTTAAGAATCTCAACCCAAACAAACACTCATCTTTTTGGCACCAACCATCTTTATCTTTTTTTCTTATTATCTATGAAGATCAAGAACAAAGAGTTGCGGCTTATTCAAAGTGCATCTTCTCATAATCTTGTACTTCTGAACCCTTGTACTACTACTCGTACACTATTGCTTCAAAATGGCCGCTGCCTCATCTTTAATTGGTCGATATAACAACGAGTACAACATTAGTATCAATAATAACAATAGGGGTAGCCGCAGCAGCAATAACGACAACATCGGTACTGCTTCATTGACGAGCGCCTCCCTGCTTAGCAACGGCGGTGGCAACAGCACCGCCGGCAGCAACCAGCCAGCAAGAATAGGAATAGTGGGAGAAGTAGAAGGAAGTGGAAAGATGGTGAGGAAGAGGATGGCTTCGGAGATGATGGAAGTGCAATCAACAATTAGTCCTCAAAATCAGAGGTTATCTCGTGGTAACATCATCAGTAACACCAACGTCTATTCACTTTCGATATCAGACAATATTAATATTAATAATATTAGCAACAACAATAATAAGGATGATGTTATTGGGATGACTACTGGCGCCTCTTCTTTTACTAGTAGTTCTAACAACAACAATATTAACCCTAACCCAAATCCAATCTTATATCCAGTCCTCAACTACTCCACTATGACTATGCTACCTTCTTCCACGAACTTGACAGCTATTACGTCAGGCGGGTCTGCTTCTGTGTCCGTTTCTGGGTTTTTATCCTCTACACCACCGACCAACTTAATCACTAGCTGTAATGACAACCAATCCCAGCTCCCAGCTGTGTGTGGTTTCTCTGGTCTACCCTTGTTCCCTCCCGAAAGAGAAAGAAACACTATCCGATCAAACGCCGTCGTTTCTCCCGGCCTTATCACTAACTCTACTGCTTCTACTCCTACGGCTGCTTCTATGGAAGATGCCTCATCCGCTACTGCCTGGATCGATGGCATCATAAAGGACTTACTTCACAGTTCCACCAACGTGTCCATTCCTCAGCTCATTCAGAATGTAAGGGAGATTATCTACCCCTGCAACCCCAATCTAGCCTCCCTTCTTGAGTACAGGCTGCGGTCTTTGATGGACCCAATAATCCCGGCCAATATTTATCCGGTGGGGAGGAGAAGGAATAAGGAGGCAGCACCAGTACCATTGCCGCTTCAGAGGCATTATAATCAAGGGCATGCCCCTTCCGGACTCACTCTTGATCTTGACAATGTCTCCGATTCTGTGCCTCCTCCTGTTTCTTCACATGTTGTAAGTCATTACTCTAACTGGGCGCCGACACCGCCTCTCATCTGCCAACCAAACCTCCAACTGCAACACCAGCAGCCACAAGTCCACCTTGTTCATGATCAGCAACAACACGAGAGTCCATCTTCAACTTCCAATGTTACACCAACTATTCTAGCGTTAAATCAAGGGCGTCCTCCACAACCACAAGCTCAAGATCAGCAGCAGGAAAAATCATCATCTGCGGAGACAGAACAGGTAACCAGCAACACACCCCCTCCCTCTTCATCAGCACCTGCCAGCCGAGATAAGAAAGAAGAGATGCGGCAGCAAAAGAGAGACGAAGAAGGCTTGCACCTGCTCACCTTACTCCTCCAATGCGCAGAGGCTGTCTCCGCTGATAATTTTGAGGAAGCTAACAAGATGCTACTTGAGATCTCGGAGCTGTCCACGCCTTTTGGGACTTCAGCGCAGCGAGTGGCTGCGTACTTCTCGGAGGCAATGTCAGCGAGGTTGGTCAGCTCGTGCTTGGGGATATATGCGACGCTTCCTTCAATGCCACAAAGCCATACTCAGAAGATGGCTTCGGCCTTTCAGGTGTTCAATGGAATTAGCCCTTTCGTCAAGTTCTCTCATTTCACCGCAAACCAAGCGATTCAAGAAGCGTTTGAAAGAGAAGAGAGAGTCCACATCATAGATCTGGACATCATGCAAGGTTTGCAGTGGCCTGGCCTATTTCACATCCTAGCATCTAGGCCCGGTGGACCACCATATGTCCGCTTGACGGGGATGGGGACCTCCATGGAGGCTCTTGAAGCAACTGGGAAACGTTTGTCTGATTTTGCACAGAAGCTAGGACTGCCCTTTGAGTTTATTCCAGTGGCGGAAAGAGTTGGAAATTTGGATCCTGATAGGCTTAGTGTGAGCAAGAGGGAGGCTGTTGCCGTCCACTGGTTGCAACACTCGCTCTACGATGTCACTGGTTCCGATACAAATATGCTTTATCTGTTGCAAAGGTAAGATACATGCTTCATCATCTCTTACTATTATTTCCTACTCGCAACACACAAGATCCCATGACAAATAAAGTCTCCTCCTTTCTTTTCTTCTTATACAAAAAAGCATTTCTTTTTGACTTATCACATTTATAGAACAGTAACTGCAAATTGTAGCAACTGATCATCCAAGTTTTGTTTTCATATTAAAAGGGTAGATGATTATGATAATGGCTACAAAATTATTCCTTTTCTTTTAGTATGATTTTTTCTCGAAATATTGGATTAATTAATCGCATATATACTGTATTCTACATGTTATGCATTTGCAATGATGAGTCCGTGATTTGATGATATCCATATATTTATACATATTTTGTCACATAAAACAGCCAGCCATTGTTCCATCATCCGTGAGCTAGGTTAGGTTATAGATGCATTAATGCTCACACTATGAATATAGCAATAATATTACCTAAGCATGCACCGCCCTCGCAGTAGCTATAATGGGATGGGTTGGATGGATTTTGTTGCAGGTTGGCACCAAAAGTAGTGACAGTGGTAGAACAGGACCTAAGCCATGCGGGATCCTTCCTGGGAAGGTTTGTGGAGGCCATACACTACTACTCCGCCCTGTTCGACTCCTTGGGAGCAAGCTACGGGGAGGAGAGTGAGGAGAGGCATGTAGTGGAGCAGCAGTTGCTATCGAGAGAGATACGCAATGTATTGGCTGTGGGAGGACCTTGCAGAAGTGGGGATGTCAAGTTCCACAACTGGAGGGAAAAGCTACAACAGTCTGGGTTCAAAGGTATCTCCCTTTCTGGAAATGCTGCTACCCAGGCCACTTTGCTACTTGGCATGTTTCCCTCTGATGGTTATACATTAGTAGAGGATAATGGCACCCTCAAGCTTGGTTGGAAAGACCTTTGCTTGCTCACTGCTTCTGCCTGGAGGCCTTTTCATGTTAGCATTGAAACTGCTACCACCACCAACCACCACCATCACCACCTCCACCATCGCTTCGTCACTGCCTAGCTATAGCTGGTCTTGCTTGCCTACTTTTTAATGTTATTACCATAGAGCATGATTTAAGCCTCCTCTTCGTTTCCATCCCATTTTGGTTCCCTAGTTGGTTGTGTTTTGTCTATTTTTTCGCTTGTTCTCCTTTCATTGGACCATCAATATAAAAGCTTGCGAAGTTTTTATTCGTCATGTAAATTAAGCAGATGCATTTTTTGAAAAAAAATTTCCCTCTTTTTTCCATCTATGTATAATTTTAGTTACCCTAGTATATATGTGTACAAGCCAAAAAAAAAAAAAAAAAAAAAAAACAGCAATCAATTATTACACTTAGATCAAAGATATCATAAAATGTAAGGGAAAAATAAAAGAAAGGAGATAGAGATGAGTTAAATATTGTTTGTACTAGTTGCCATTAGTATTTTTGTGCCACCAAATAATACACTGCCACGCTATTTCTAATCTCTCATCATTTGGATATTCAAAATGGCATGAATGATCATTATATTAATATCTGATTGGAGCTTAATGCGAGAGTTCTGATGCACAGATCTAGTGGGCCCATCATTTTAGATTGGCCCTAATTGGGCTAAATGTCTTTTACCATGCGTAATCTCTCTCAATTTGTAACTAGCACAGTAGTTGGGCTTCGAAGCTTGTACAGTTATAAGTATAGGCTGCTGTTCATTTTTTTGATAGGGCTAGATTATGGTATTGGGAAAATATAATCTTGATTTTTTTTAGATTAGGGCCGCTGGATTAAATTAGGAAAAATGAAATTTTCTTAATTAATTAATTGTTGTAGAAGCAGCAGCAACAACACTCATGCGAATCCTGAGTAACAAAATCACCAAAATGTATTAGACATTTATAAAGTTTGGTTGGAAGGCTTTTCTCCGACTTTGGCGTCCGTTCATATTTCAATGGAAAAATAAAATCAACTCAGTTTGTGCCTTAATCACTCACTAGGGCCACGAATGTCTTAAATTCTCAGTCAGTAAAAGCATTCACAGAATATTGTTGGATGTGCGATAAGACCAAACTATAAGTCACAAATCCAATATGTAGTTGTGGGACTCGTTGAATATATATATATATATATTAAACCCAACAGGCTTGAGGCTAAAGCTCTCTCTCTTCTGCTAAGCACATTACTGTTTTTTCCTGCCGACGTTGTGCACTATATGTATATAAACTAGACAGACTTAATTATGGACTCCGCAGCCTTACAGGTGCGTCTAAGTTCAAGTACTTTCGAACAGGCTTAATCTTCAGCCCATTAGGCCTAGCAGATATTCGGGCTAAGGTCGAGCTTTTAGAAGTAGAAACCCACTCCAATTTGCCCAGCAGCATTATACCCCATTACATCAATCAGCACTGCGGCTACGTATCTACCCGCTGCTGCTGCCGCCGCCGCCGCCACCACACTGCCACACCGTTGCATAAAAAAATCACACTAATAGCTTCAATGCCCCTTCATACATTTAATAGCTTATTTTATGTTCCCATAATCGTTACATCTTAAATCGGCATCTATCTTGAATGCCTGTTCTACTGAAAGCAACAATCTAGTGCAAAATTCTTATTCAGTCTCCAACTGCTGGCATTCACAACCTTCCAATATTGGCATGGAAACGCAAACTTTCTAGCATACCAGACAATCACATCACAAGATAAAGATAAGGAGAACATATACTGGAGACACTTTATCACAAATTTGTCATCCTCCAACTTCTGGGCTATGAGAGCATCCCTTGTAAAAGTTAATACATTACAATATTATGCTCGATTTAAGAAAATTTATGCCACGGTAACAAGAATGCTTGGTATCTAAAATATTTATTGCTGAAACTAAAAATTCCTCGATGCTATGTCCAATTACATGCCAGGTCCTCAATTGACAAGCCACAATTTCGGCAATGCCAATTCAGTTAATACATGAAAAAAAATATCGATACAAAAAGTCAAGGAAATAATCCCTCCAATTTTCTCATCACAAAATTAATTAATCACACTACTAAATCAAATAACAAACAGCCTGAGAAAAGAATTCACTTACTTTGATGGGCACAAGACAACTTGCTTTCTCGACCACCGCTTACAACACAAATGGCTATTCCAATCTTCTTGAAATTAGCATACACCTGAGCTGTTTTTGTGTACAGTAATATTGCCAGCCATTTGTATCCCACACACAACTTACCAAATAAGAAGCAGAGGATGCAGTTCTTCCTGTCATTCACTATAGTGTCCAGTAAATTGCATTTCATACTCCAAATTCTCCATTCCTGGCAACCACAGCTGCCTCCAAGGTGTCCATTCCCTTCTGCTTGCTAGAAACTAGGTAAAATATTCCAGTCCATTTATTTACCAAAAAATCAGGAGGCTATAATTTGTTGCTACCCAATATCTTTCGGGAATCTAAGCTCAGAAAAATTACAAGCAATCTGGAAATTCATGCTTCTTGAATGTTCACTGGCTCATTATGGATTCACATTGCACTCACCCAAGAATTGCTCATCTCGGTTTAGAAACCTCTTCCAATATTGTTTATACTTGGGGATTCCTAGCTCAAGCCAAGGTTTCATTTGTCCATTAAAGTGCAACACTGCAGCCTTTTTAATGGCTTGGACATCAATCCCATACTCATGACCCAGTCCAGACAAAGCCCATACACCATCAAGCGGATAAACCAGGTCTTGAAAGGTAAGCAAGCTTGCGCTCAATGCAACTGCTTCAACAGATCCTGTTCCCTTGCTAACCTATTTTCCATGTTCGCAATGTAGAAAAACAAATAAGATCTACAGAGTCAAAATCTAATGATAATAACAGTTCAAGTAATCAATGAGCCGACTTATGAAAATAAAGAAACCAAACTGGCCAATCAAAATCCTTTTCTTGAAGTTGCTAAAGCGCTATGGTGGATGCGTTGGAGTAAGGTTTCATATTTTAATGTCCCTCTAGTTTCCTCGCATATGATTAGAAATCACAGAAACATACCGGTCAACCATATCCTTTTGCCAAAGTTGCTATAGGTCTATGGTGGATGCATAGGATCAAAGGAGGGTTGGTTGCCGTTTCATATTTTATAATGTGCAACTAGTTTTCTCATATATGATTAGAACTGCCAAACAACAAATCATTCACAAAAGTAATTTCTCACAAAAGAAATTCGGTAAAATTAAATCACTCACCTCTTGTTCCAACTTCCGATAAGTTTTAGTAAGATCTAGCTCTCTCCACCTGACCAGATCAATTACATTTAATCCAGACATCCAAGCACAAGATTTTTCATCAAAATTGCCTTTTCCCAGATAGCTTCTTAGCAGACCCAACTGCACTGAGCATAACTGTAAAGCGCCATTTACTTTCCCCCCATGTCAAGGTTCCATAGGTCAGACAAGTCCCGCTGGACAACAACATCATCATCCAGAACTACAACTCTCTTCAACTTCTCAAATATATAAGGAAGAAGATAGTGAGTACGAGAAAACACAGATACGTATTCTGTTCTTAAATAAGTTGCTGGTGGATTATTAATAGTATGGAAAGAAACACGATACTCCACAGGCAGGGACATGCTTTTCAGAGCCTCCTTATCATGATATTTCAGGGTAACATTTTCAATGTTCAAAACTTGGACAGCAGCTTCCTTGTAAGTATTTCTAAGGAACCATAGTTTCATTGCAAAATAATTCAGTCCATCTGTCAAAACATGAAATACCAGATTCCCACTTTCCTGAAGCATGCAGGACAATTATTAGATAATCAGAATTCAGAATTTTTTAAATGTAAAGAGTGCTTGGGAGAATACTAGCAACGTACTCTTGCATGCACAGCAGTCGAGTTGATTACAACAGAAGCAGCAAGTACATTTGTGGAGAATATAACATAGTGTTGCAATGATGGATCTGAATATCTCTCAGACACAGGCAACTCCTTATCATGTACAGAAGATTTAAAATATTCCACGATCAGTCTCATAGAAAGGCAGTGGAGACCCTTTGGCATGGTCTGCACTGCAAGCTGATAAAGGAAAGCACTCTGCTTCATGTGAAAATTAGTTTCTTCCTCAGTTAGATCAAGTATCTGTCTCAATTTCTTGTCAACGTTATTACAATCCACAGGGAATGTTTTAGCTTTGGCTATCACATGTTCCATCTTCTGTGATTTCTTCTGAATTCTGATGAAACAGGTAAATTAGTGTGCTTGAGGAGGAACTATGCAAATTTGTTAAGCAGTATCTACTACACTAGAAAGATAAATTATATTAAAGAGTTGACAGTTCACATCCAAGGAGAAAGCAAGCAACAAAGAGGCCATATATCGCAACAAAAGTAAGAATACCAGCAACTGCCTGGAACAATAAGGTCAAAAGATCATTTTATCAACTTCTGCTTCAGCATTTTATACTATTGTTAGATGTAAAGCTTCTATCTCAATTTTTTTTTTTTTTTGGGGGGGGGGGGGGGGTGGTGTGGGGGTGAGTGGGTGGGCGGAGGAGAAGGTGATGGTGGTGTGGGGGCATGGAGCTGCTAAAACGCAAGGCAGAATGAGCAGATAATTATTCTTGGGGTTAGGTTGTGGAGTTTGGAGATTTTGTGACTTGGAGATTAAACTCAGGTTTGATTTATGCAGAATAGAGAGAGGGGGGGGAGGAAAACTACTCGTCTCACACTAGTAGGTTCAAAGAACCATTCCCTAAATGAAAACCTAGGCATCAAACTGTAGAGACCAAGGAATAATCACTCCTTGAATGGAAGTTCATCACTCTCAATAAGCATAAATCAACAGCTGCACCCTTTTTAATAAAATCTCTGTGCAAGAATTGAAAGACTACAAGCATGTTTATAAGTTTGAATTATTCCTACTCCTAATGGACTTTTATACAAGAAACATAATATTCCAATTTTAACTAGGGGAGAGATGAAAAGGAGTGATGCTTCATATTTCCTACATATAGCTACCATATTCTGAACTTTCACAGAAATTTACTGCAATCACAAACTTGCCTTGCTTAAATATTCACCCACTGTCACAGTTCCATAGGCTGCATCAAAATGACAAAACTAAAATCCTGAAAAGGGAAGACATGTGCCATGTTATGGAAGCTTTTGGGTACTGCTATGATGGATTACATCTGCCTGATCCTACAGGACAAACATGAATATAACGGAAACTAAGGCCGCCAAAAGCAAATGGCTGAAGCTGTTCAAGAAGGAATGGTAACCATTAGTGAGAATGGACACAAAGCCCTAAGCATCCATATTCAAGACTAGGAAGCACCAGCAGCCCAACATGTGCACAAGCAATAAGACTCCCATTGCTTGTCCCAGTCTCAAGATACTGATTCCATGTACATGTGCATGACATCACAAAAGCTGACCACTGCACTAGAATTTTATAATTGACAAACAGGAAGCCATTAATGCTAAAGAGTGGAACCACAGTGCAATATATATTTCGCTGATAGTGAAGGGAAAACATGTTAAAGATGAGTTCAAGGACAGATAGGGAGACAGACACATAAATTTCTATGAACCAAGAAAATGTGGAAAATGCTAATATTGCATAAAACAGGCATATCTTGCTGCTCAGGAAGAAGAAATAATGACAAACTAAGACTTCCAAGATCTTCACAGTAAGAAAGTCAGCATAGCTTATACATGGACATTCTTTTAGGTTTATTAGTTTAACATTTAGATACCAAATTACATTATTCTTTCTATTAATTTTAGCAGAGTCAATATCATTGATTATAATCAAGTGTTTTCAGTTTAGATAAAACTATTCTTGAGGCCTCATTCAGCAGCTTAAGCTTTTGGGTAGAGATGGTTCTTTGACAGCTGAGTTTATCCCAGAATAGAGAGGAGCTCACGTGGTATGTTTTCCCTATAATGCAGGACAGTGCCACAACGCTCTCATAATACACATTCTTTGTTGTATAGATTTAGACATTTAGCTTTATGCATTTTAAGCTTCATTCCAGCAGATGATGTTTATTATGTACTTAAAATGGCAATAATGATGGATAGAGAAATGGTAAGAATGGGTATCCTTACTCCCTCACATCATTGAAGCAAACATTATCATACATTGTTCACGCTAATGGAAGATAAAGACATGAAACTTAAAATGACTTACTGTGGTGGAAGGTCAGCATCTGTTGTACTTTCACTAAGAATACGCTCCAGTTCTTGAATATTTTGTTTCATTTCATGAGTTAACTTCTCTTGAGATCGAAGCTTTGCAATGGTAGGATAATATGCTCTAGCCACAAAAAGCTGGTCCTTTAATTTCTTCACCATAAAATCCTTCATCTTTTCTCTATGCTCATCACGCCAATGGCAATAGCCTCCAAATCGGAGCTCACATTTTTCACTTTCTTCCACTGCACTTCTGTTGTGCTTGGCGATTTCATCTGTACCGGCAGTTGCAACATTCTGCCACAGCATATTAAAAAAACTCTGAAGACTTTATAATTATAACAAAATGACTAACTTTTTCAGGAAAACACTCTGATGCATGCATACGTACATTTCTACTGGGAGGTGGTTGAGGTACAGCAGGAGGCACCACAAGTGTACCTGTTAGTGATTGGAAAGGAGAATGAGCCTTCTTTTTTTCCTTTTTTTTTCAATAATAAGTCTTATAATAGGGCAGCAACAATCATAAAAGAAACTCTTAGAGAAAAGAGCTCAACAAGTTCTTTTTGCCATTGACTACATGAATAGAACCTGAACTCGCGGTCTCATTTTCTGCTCCATTTGTGAAGTTTATAACCTGGGATACAAAAATACGAGAAAAAACACTGTGGTTTAAAAACAGATTTAGATACCTTTAGATAGACTAAAAAAGTCGATAAGCCTATCAAATCTTAAGGAGGCCTCAAAGGCTTCAAGTGAATCTGTATCTCGTTTCATTCAGGGGAAAAAAAAAGAAAAGAAAAGAAAGAAAAGAAAGAAAAGAAATTAAACTGAAAGGAACTGAATGCATTAATAAATCTAGTACCATTGGGGGGCGTGTTGTACAAGATATGTATAGAAACCCAATAGCAGTTGCATATGAAATCGAAATATGAGGTTTGCATTAGCTTCCTTTGTAGCTATTACATACGAAAGATATTTGCATCAGATTATTCACCTTTACAGACCCCTTAACAACAATACTTTTGACCCCAGGACTTGGAAAGCAACTACAAATGAAAGATGTTCAGTTGCTAAAGTATATGAAGCTAAAGAGCAACAGGGAACATTTAGGCCCTATATTTCTTTGATGCATATGGAGTACCAAATGGAAGCATTACTAGTATCTGTGAATTGCTCCAAATTACACAATGAACATATGAAGAGAATAATGGGAGAAACAAAGCGCCATTCTAGGAGGTTAGGAACAGCATGGTAAAGCCAAAAAGATACAATCTTGTTCTATCACACAGAGAGAACTACTAAATCTCTGTTTTTGAACAATCTAGAGACCATGTGTCTGACAATCAAAGTATGGTTACTGTTTCTGCATTCCTTTTGAAGATATAAAACTTGTTCAGAATCAAACAATTACTCAGTAGAATGATTTACTGTCAAGCATTGAAATCTTTTTATTTTTTTGATAAATTAAACATCAAATTCTTATTTTGCCCAAAAAAGGGAAAAGGAAGAAAAGTAATTGACCAAGCCCACAGCCTATTAGCACAAAGCTAACATCACAAATCAGTGTGATTTGTATTGATGTATATCAAGGGAAACTTTTTGAAGATTATACAAAAAAATTAAATTCAAAAATTCAACCCTTAATACATGCTTTGGATCGAATATACATGGACCATTGCTATACATCAAATCTTTGCAGGATCACATAACAACAATATGATGAGGATGTGCAGCCAAAAGAAAAGGACAAAAGGAAACAGAAACCATGATATTTAGATAGAGCTTTCAGAGGTTCCAAGATCTTTTTTTACATGAGAGAATTCTGTCTTCTTATTGTTCCATTCTTGATTAAATTCACTTGACAATTTTCATTTTTTTTGTAAATTTATTCATTTCTCTCTCAACAAACTTATGTAGCAGGGTTGCATGAATTTGTTTTTATGGTGAGGGGATTTTCAATGATCACATTTGTCAGATACAATGGTAAACAGGGTAGAAAAACATATTTCAAAGGCCCATACTACAGCAGACATCTTCCATAGACAATAACCCATTTGTCATTTTCCAACTTTTTATTATAATAGCAAACTCAAAATAATTTTTTCCAATGTTTTTCCATAGATTAACACCACATAAACTCCAATCAGCAATCAATAGGTTTATTTGGATTATAAATAAGTGTCCATGGTAAATTTCTTTTTTTAGAGGTTTCAATTTCAAATTCTATGTAACTCTGTAGGCAAGGGCAGGCTGGTACTTCTGGAATTTCCAGCACTGGGGCTTTCTTTCTCTAGCCTTCATGTTATGTCTAGCTACTTTCCTATTTATGAGTTATTGTCAATTTAGAATTTTATATAAATTTTATTTAGAAGTCATAACACTGTTTAGGAATTTAATTTTGGTCAGGAAATTCCTTATTTGGAAGCTTTCTGCTATTATAATAAATAACTATGTATCAAGTTTCTCCACTAACTTATGAAATAAAATTTATAGTTGAGATTACGCTCAAGTTTGTTGCTCTTCTTTTCTCTTTTTTTCATAATTCTTCACTCTCACCATCATGTACTACTTGTTTTACAACAGGCCAAATCTGATTCCACTAACAAAACAAAATTTCAGGCTCCAAAATTTTATTTATCCAACTGTGAAACATTTTCTAATCAACCTCTAGTCTGATGACATCAATCCCTAATCCTACTCTCAAATAAATCACCACCAGGCTAGCATCTATTCTGATACTCAAAGTTTCCCTATATCATGACATAGGGCAGAAATCCACCCATCCCTTTTTAACTTCCACCACTGTTTTTCCAAAAGATTATCTTTAACAACCTGTTGAACTCGTATACACTATATACGTACTAAAAATACTGTCTTCTCATGCAAACTACTCTGGTCGAACTGCAGGCCTCAGCTTAGATTATAAAACAGAAACACTAACTTTTTGGTGCCATTGAACTTAGATATGGACAACAAACGTGAAAACAAGGCTTGAATCTTGAAGCCATACTAATAACAGAATTAGAAACGCAAATGGGAATTGGGAAGCTCAAATATGAATAATGAAATATTCTAACAGGAGGCCAAGCATGACAGATAACAGGACCAATCTGAAAGTTAAAAAGAAATGCATGAACCTGCAATCAGACGGATCAAAAAACACACAAACTACTCAGAAAGGGATTCAAAACACAGAATTATGCCCTCTAGATAAATCTTACTCTATAAGAAAGCAATGAGAGGTTAAACTACCTAAAGTTGAATCCATTACATGTTTAGAACCTAACCCAAATCACTATCAGTCTCAGTTAAGAGTTCCCCCAGCAGAGTACAAAGCAGTTTTCAAGTACACCGAGGTGATAAATAAATTATGGTTCCAAAGATTAGCAAGAAAAAGAAAGTAGGCAAAAAAAGAAAAAAGAAAATAATATCTAAGGACATTACTTGATGAATCTCAGAAAGAGTTGGTGCAAAATTCTCCATAATCTCCTTTACGTGGCTTGACTGATCTTTCTGCAGTTACAGACAAATAAAAATAGTCCATAAAATGAAAAGAATATGCAAATAAATACAAGAAATATTGCATAAAATAAAAGTAATATCAATGAGAACCCAAATGATTAAATTAAAAAAAAAAAAGGCAAAACAAAGAGTAAACTGAATTGAAGAAATACATACAGAAGAAGCTTGTCGATCAGAGAGGTGTCCTGCGGAGGAAGACGAAATGACATGATTTAGTAATCGATTTGATTTGATTTAACGGAAAGAGAAATAGATCTAATTGGATTGCAATTAGAAAAAAGTAAAGTTTATATGTATGTATCAGTTAGATTCCAAATAAAAAAGAAAAAGAAAAAATGCAAATCTAGATCTGAGGGAGGGAGGGAGGGAGAAAGATGTTGCAGTAAAGCGTTACCTGTAGAGTGAAAGCCGTTGTGGTAAAGGCCAAGCAAAAAGACGAGAGGAACGAGCATTGAAAGCAGCACCAGAAACAGCACACCTATCACCAGACATCTCCATCGCCTTTTCCCTTGATTGTGATTATTATGATAGCCTTTCATCTCCTCCCTCCTCTCCGTCCGAGGAGACTCTCTTCCTTCCTTCTTCCTTCCTTCTTCCACTCCTAGCTAATCTAATATCTGCTGCTGCTGTGTAATGTCAGCCGGTCAGATTCAAATTTGCAAGGCAGGGTTTTTCCTTCCCTCGCAATCAAGAAATCATTCACATTATTAAAAACTCCATCAAACCATTATAATTATGCACCGCACAGCGTCTCCTTTTCCACTACTTCTTCTCCTCCTCCTCCTCCTTTTTTTATCTAATTACAGACACAAACTCCAACTCCACAATGCAATGGATCCTCTTCTGGATGCAGAGAGAGAGAGAAAGGGGAAAGAAAGAGAGAGAATCACACACTCAGAGTGGAGATTTGCACGTGTAACTGTTTCTCAAACCAACTTTTTTTTTTTCCTTTTTTTTTCCCCTCTCTGTCTGTCTCCGGGGCTACTACCATTATCTAGGATAATTACATTTTTGATACATCAAGTTTAGATATTTTTTCAATTAAGTACATTAAGTTTTTTTAGTATATCAACTTTTTTAAAAATTTCAATCAAGTTTTTCCATCCATATTTTCGTCAATTAATGATGTGGCAGTTAATTGAAAAGACAAAATGACTTTTTTGACCTTATTTTTTCTTTTCACTCGAACTTTTTGTTACAAATTTTCTTTTCATTTCCCTTTCTTTCTTCTTCCCTTCTCTTCCCTTTCATTTCTTTTCTTTTCTCTATATTTGAACATTACATTCAAAAACCAAAACAGTTTCTTCTTCACTTAATTTTTCTCTTTTTTTTATCATCTTGAACCCTAAAATCAAACCCCAAAAACATGCATATTTTTTTTAACTTTACCTTTCTTTTTTTCTATCGTCTAGTACCACTAAATTCGAACCCAAAAATACGAACAACAACATTTGAGAATGACACAATTGCAAGAATCAAAATTAACGAGATGGAGACAATTAGAATAGGTACTTTTTATGGGTTTTTTTTTTTTATATTGAAATGACTTGTCTCTGTCTCGCAATCTTTTTATTTTCTTTATTCATTCCATTTTTGTTTACTTGTCATAGTGGTGAGGTATTAGTCCAAACGAAGACCCAAAGTTGTCTTATATTATGATGGAAAGTTTGTCAATGATATCGAATTTGAATATTTGAGAGGTAAAAAAACTATTTACTTTGTTAAAAATATTGACGACTTATGTATAAAGAACATTGTTGATTTTGCCAAAGAAAAAGGGGTTGAGCATATTCTTGATATATATTTCTCCAACCCTCGCTAGTGGAATAGAAAATGAGTCGTTTCTTTTGGATTGTGATCTTACCGTAATACGATTAATTAAGTTTTTGAAGAGACATAATACGTAGATGGTTTTATTGAGGTGGGGAATTACACTAAGCAATGTTATGTGAAGGTTAATAGGCATGTGGGCGAGAATGTAGGCGATGGTTTCGTTGGTAGGATGGGTGAAGGTAATGGGAGAGTCAACAATGAAACTAAAAATGATGAGGAAGTTAATGGTGAAGTTGGGCTCAATAATGATGATGAGGGTGGACATTGAAGATATTGATGAAGGTGGCAAATAAGATGGTGTAAATCTCGATGAGTTAGATCCTGAAGTAGATGAAGCTGATTTGGTTGATATTAATGGATTGTCCGTCCGATAATTATGATGAGGTGAGAAATATAAGGGTGAATTTGAAGAAGTTTTACACAAAAGAGTTTAAGGGTAAACTATTAGAAAAAAACACCAAATAGACTATTGGGAAGGCTATTTATAGAGTCATGTATATTAATGTAGGATATATAATTGATTATATTTCGGAAGATGATAATTATGATTATGAAAAAGCTGATAGTGAATATGATGATATTGCAATTAAGAGAAGGAGCAAGACATCGGTTTATGATGAAGCAAAAGTAAAAAAACCTTATTTTTGCCTTGATATGGTGTTTAATGATCCAAATCGGTTTAAAGAGGTTTTGGTAAAGATTTCAATTCTTTAGAAGTGTGAATTTATATATAAGAAGAATACCGATTTGTTAGCGAAGGCAACGTGTAAGGCTTCAAAATGTAATTAAAAAATATATGTATCATATGAGAGAAACTCACATGATGTCAAGGTAAAAACTTACCTTGACAAGCATCAATGCATTCCCTCTTTATATAATAGCAAACTCACAAGTATTTGGTTGGTCAATAATATTTTTAATAAAATAGGGGATAAATATGGTCCGTAAATTATTTTGTCAAAATGTGATAGAGCTAAAGAGAGGGTGATGGAACGGATCAAGGGTGAAACTAAAGCAGAGTATGATAAACTTGAAGACTACAAACGTGTTCTAATCCTAGAAGTATAATATGGTTATGTTGTGAAAGTTCTATACTATACCCACAATTGCTTAATAAGTTTTAAGATAATGTACATTACTTTTGAGTATTGTAAGAAAGGGTTTCTTACTAGCTATAGAAAAGTTATAGGACTTAATGGATGCTTTCTTAAGACATTATGTAAATGGCGGCTTTTATCGGCAATTGGCAAGGATGGGAACAATCAAATGTCCCTAATTGCTTGGGCGAGTGGTTGATATAGAATCTTTTAATACTTGGTCATGGTTTTTGAAGAATTTGAAAGCCGATCTTGATATTAATGATGGTGATAAATGGACAATAATCTCCGACTAACAAAATTTGATGCACCCGCACTTATTATTTTTTCGAGTTTGATTTAGAACTTAATTTTTTATTTTAATATTAAAAAATATTAACATTTAATGTTAAATATTAGAGATTGTTTGGAGTTTTAGCGAAATGATGTTAATGGCAGAGCACCAATTTTGTGTTAGGCATTTATATGCCAATTGGAGAAAAAAGAACCTAGGAAAGGATTTACGTAAGCTATATTATATATGTGCTAAAGTCATATGCTTGATTTTAAGAAGTTTACAAATCTATTAAAAGAGAAAACAACAACATGTTATAAGTCGATGATGAAGAATGATCGTAAACATTAATGTAAAGCTTTCTTTAACAAAAATACCATTTATGTTGTCATACCCCAAAATTTTACCTTTGTGTATTATTTTTGTTTTCTTTATTTTATTTTTATTATTTAAATTTATGCTTGCTTCGTATAACATCAAGACAAAAAAAAACAAAAATATTTTCTTTTATTTATTTAGAATTTAGAACAAAATTACAAAAAAATGGAAAAATACAAAAAAAAAAAAAGAAGAGATGGAGTGATAACTCCCCGCATCTCTTGTTCTTTTGCATCTTCGGTCGGTTTCTTGCCATCTTCCCAAGTTGAATTGCAACTTGCTATCCCTTATCCCTACGGTTCTCGCACGACCCCTCCAAGTTAACAATTCCAAAACCCCATCATTCCAAGCACCCTCTACTACCGCCACAATCCCCTCAACCCCAGACTTGCTCTGCAGGTGCTCCTCCCTCCGATCAACAATATCAAGCCACAACCACCCCTATTGTTGCAAATTCCAGCAGCTCCCTTATCACCTAAGTCAACCTCTAGCACTCCCTACTCGTTGCCATTTCGCGAAGCACCACCCTACAGACCTCCCCTACTTCCGAGCTAGCCTCACCACTGCCACAAGACACAACCACAGTCCAATCCACACCCCATGTATCCTGCAGAAAATCTCCCACCATCATAGTGGGGGAACCAACCAAACCCACATAACATGCATATATATATATATATATATATATACAATTCATAAAAAAGAAGGCGAGTAAGTCCAAAATTAAGAGCCCGAAATTGAAAGAAAAAAGGGGAGGAAATCGAGTAGCAAAAAAGAAAAAATCCGAAAAGAGGGAAAAAGATTAAATTTACCCCAATTGAAGTTGCAATCCATACCCATTTTGATCAATCCTTCTAGGTAATACCATTTAATTTCTCATTGATTTCGGTTTTGACGAAGTTAGGTTTGTGTTTTGAAATTTGGAGGTTTTTGAATTGGGGTGCGAATTGAGTTTAGGAAGGACAAATTAAACCTAATCAAAGGCAACTGCAGTTTCAATTTAGGGTTTAAAACCCAAATTGAAGCCGAATAGATGTCAATTTAAATCTAGGATTCTTGAAAATTTTTGAACAAATTGATTTGGAGGTTTCCAAAATTTCAAGTCCTAAAGGGTTTGAATTGACTTGATTTCACTTGAAATCAAGTCAATTAGGTCTAATTGAAAGAAAATTTTGAAGAAAAATCAAAACTTAGGTTCGGCCAAATTGAGGATTTTTTGAAAAAAATTAATTTGGGGTTTTCGATCTAAAGGGAAATTAAGACATTTAGGAAGGAAGAAAAGAAGGGAAGAGGAAGGAAAGAACGGAGGAAGCATGGAAGAACCCGTTCCGGTTCATCCATGGCAGATCCGATAGAAAAAAGAGAAGAAGAAAAGAGGAAGACAAGAAGAGGGTTTAAGAAAGAAGAAGAAGAAGAAAGGAAGACCGAGAAAAGAGGAGAAGAAAAGAAAAAGGAAGGGAAAAAGGGATGAACCTTGGTTCGTCCCGTCCGAGAGTTTGGATTTTGGGCAAAAGAAGAAGAAGAAAAGGAAAAGAAAGAAAAAAGAAAAAAGAAAAAAGAAAGGGACGGGAAAGAGAGAGAAAAAATGAAAAAAGAGGTTTTGATCCAAAATTTTAAAAGCCTAGATTTGGGTTATGTTTTGGGCCAAAAAAAACTTAGTCTTTTATTTTAAGTGAGCCCAAACTCACTTGGGATAAGGTTGGATTGTCTAGCTCGAAATTTTACCTTTGGGTAGGTCTGGACGAGTCTAGCCCAAACCCAAAAAAAAAAAGTCTTTATTTTTATGGATATTGTTATTTCATATTCAATTTAGATATTGAATTATCTTTAATTATTTTAATTAATGTAATTTTTAATCTTGATTTTATTTTATGCATGTTTTTTAATTTATGTTAACTTAGAATTTAATATTTTAA